CCCCCCGCCGCCCTAACCCGTGGATTCGCCATTATATAAGGTGGCATATTTATGAAAACTAAAAATTGAAAATTTCATAGAAATTCTTCATGTTAACAGCATCAGCCACTCTATATTTGACTTACAATCATTTCTCGTTTCTTTCGCATTCTATTCAATTTTCCGAAAATCGAAAAAAAAATAACTTACAGCTTTTTCTTTTCGCTTTTGCTTGATCATTGAAGAAAGTACAGTGCCGGATGTTTGTTGCCGCCGATCCAGAAGATAAGCCGGCACAACACCCTTATCCGGTTCTTCAACTGTCCCAGTTTGTTGTTTTTCCTCATGTTGCCGCAGTAGCTTGCGCATTTCAACCTGAAAAAGACGTGACATCACTGCAACGTGTTTTTCTGCGAAAACAGCAAAAAACGTGGATTCTTCAATATTTCAAAATAAGGGAACCCCAACTTTCAAAAAAGTGATAAGCTTGCTCAAAGTTGAGGTAAAAAAGAGGTAAAAATTAAATTTTATCTCTCCTGAGGTAAAACTTAGATGAAATTTAAAACTGACCATGAAATGATGCAAAATGACGTCGGATGAGGTAAAATGAAGCAAAAAATGAGGTAAAAAATTAAAACTGCAACGAAAAACTGGGACTTACCACCATGATCTTACCCACATAATCTCTAATTTAGCAAAATGCTGAATATACATTTAGGCATTTTTAAAGAAGCACAAGACCTAGCAGTGATATAGAATAGCCCTCCCGAATTGCTAGAAAAACTACCTTTTAAAAGGATTTTTTATTAAAAAGATTTAAAAATTAAAAGAAAAATTTAAAAAACTTTAAAAAAATTTAAAAAATTCACATACCTTTTCTGCATAACGTTTTTTGTGATATAATTTTGCTTTTCTGCCACGAATCTTCTTTGCATATTGCGAACGTTCATGACCGGCTCGTGCAAGTCGTTTTCGCCTGGGAAAAACGAGGTGTAACAATGCACACATATATATGGTGGGAACCAAAAAAAAAGGATGAAAATGGATGTCGGATTAAGAATCAAAACAGCTATGCACTCTTTTTTTAATGGATTTTTTTTTCTTTTTTTTTCTTTTCTTCAATAGACTTTACAGATTTTTACGAACTTTACGGACATTTTGTGGATTTTGTGGACATTTCTTAAATGGACTTTGTAGACCTTTAGGACTTCATCGGTTTTTATGGACTTAAAATGAACTTTTCTGAACTTAAAATGGACTTTTATGGACTTAATGGACTTTTTATGGATTTTTTGGACTTTTTATGGACTTTGTTGACTTTTTTTAAATGGACTTTATAGACTTTTACGGCCTTTATGGGCTTTTTATGGAATCAGAAAAAAGGATTTTGAAATGTTTCGATGAAAGACGAAACCTTGGAAGAATCCGTGAAAGGGATGGCAGCTATGTTTTACCAAAATAATGATATTTAAGTATGGAAATGGGCGTCGGACTACTAGCTAAACAGCCTTTGGAGTACCTATACATGTTGTCGACAAAAATTAGCAAATCACTGCAAAGAAAACATTAATTTCAAGAACAAAAAAAAACTAACAATCTTTCTTCATAATCGAAGCGACGGCCGTGCCTTTTACGATGTAACTCGATGTGCTCGTTTTGCGGCTGAAAAAAAAAAGCTGTGAAGGAAAAACAGTAAGAATCTTTCCATGGCTAAAATAGCGAACTTCTCAATAAAAAACCTCCTAGACAAAACAGCTTTATACGCATGAATGGAGAAAAAAATAGACCCGCCTAAGTCAGTTCAATACCTTAAAATAATAATAATAATTAGTACCAAAAGATTTATGATGAACAGTGTTGCATTATGACTCCCTCCTAGTTAGGTCGTGTATTTTAAGAACCCATTCTTCTGCAACAATACTTCCTGCGCAGCCGGATCGAGAAAAGGGAGG